CGAAATTAGTTTTCCGCTCCCGTCTTCCACCGACGCTGAAACTTTCGGGCCGAAGTCGAGGAAGGCTCGTCGTCGCAGGACTTCGAAAAATAATGGAACCGCGATTATATAGTTCCGCGAGCAAGGGGAAATGAATGTGGTGCCGGTATCGTGTGTTTGGTATTTCGTTCTGCCACTGCGAAATCGTACCGGCTCCAACTTCGCTGCGTGAAAAGTTTTTCTATCGCTCCTGCTGGCGAAGTTCGCCCGGGCGAAGACAACTTCGCTGAGAAATAATCTTCGAAAAGCGTTTTAATTTAGATGGATCTGATCGTATGAATTCGATGCGTTGATTTCCTACGGACGTCCTAATCCGTCTTATAAATAGTTTTGTCATTACCGTGAAACAGCACAAATGCTGGACTAACTTATTTACAATATGTGACAACATTAGCAATGGAGGCCTGAGACGATCGGAATATCTTTCACCGTAGACTCGCACTGCTTCCCTTATACCTTTACGACAATCGCCGTAAATGAAGATCATATTGTATATTGTATTTGTATAACGCATTTTTGATAAAACCGAATGTTAATGCAAAGTCGCAATTTAGGCGAAGGACAAACTAGTAATAGGATCCGTAGATACAAATACCAGTGCAATGTGATTTAGTGTGTTTACTTTTACGTTCTATGACCCGTAATAGTGATAACGAGAGGCTATGTCAAAGGTTATGTCGCAAGATATTTGAGAAATGTCTTGAAAGAATTTATTTTTCATTGTATTATAGTTCATATGTTGCGACCTTGAATGACCTCTATTTATAGGTCATTGTATTCGTCTCGAAAAGCTCTATCAATGTGTGAATAAAAAATTAGGTTATCTTATTTTAAAAAACAAGTTTGACCTTCATATGTCCCCGATGTCTCCACCTATAGAAAAATTATTGACATCATATTATGTGTCCCCCGAAATCAAACAACTTTTGTCCGACGCTTCTTTATCTATTGTTAAAAACAAGCGAGTTATTCGGGTGTCCCGTCTCAAATGACCCACCCTATATAAAAATTTTCTGCACGTCCGGGACTTTAAGGAATACTAGAAATTCAGGGGTATCGTATAGCTTCGGCGCCGTGTGTAGCTAACTCGGCCCTTCCGTAAATATTCAGGGTGTTCCCGAAATAAGTGAACAAACTTCGGTATCGTATTCTGCATTCCCTAAGGATGAGGAATGGCGTACGAACATAGGTCCGGAGACTCATCGTTTTGGAGATAATATCAAATTATATTAACACTTAGCCAACCGAATGGGGAGATCTCCCCGTTTTAAATTCAGTCGATTGATGACCGAATGGATGATTAGTGAAAAATTAAAAATGATTGCTTAATTTTATTAAGATTTGCGGAAAGTACGAATGCTGATGAAGAGTAAATATTTTAATTTTATGAATGAAATTGAATGAAATATTTTAATTTTATGAACATTTTTGAGGTTTCCAGCGCGGTCGTGGAAGTGTTAAGATAATAAATGGTAAGATAATGCTGTCGACAATGTCGCAACGCTGAAAGATTTGATTGTCACGTCATGCAACAAAATTCTTTACAAATTTCTGGAATTTTTCTTTACAAATTTCTTTCTTCACACAAACTCTTTACGTAAGTTACAATTCTTGAAAATCCAATCTCGCGAACCCAAAGTGTTTATATCTCGAAAACGAAGAGTTTCCGGGTATGTTTATATGACCTTTTCTCATCCCCCCTTAAAAAGAGTAGAATACTATGCCGAGGTTTGTTCACCTATTTCGAGGACACCCCGTGTATAGATAAGCAAATAAATCCTCTGAGAGATTTGAATGCTTCGCGTAAAAAAAAGGAAAAAGGAAAGAGCTACGAGAATTCCTGCGGTAATTAAACGTTCGAAGTGTCGGAAACGGGAAACAAAAACTGAAAGTACGATCTCACGTCCGGTGAAATAGGATCACGGAAGAAGGAGGTCGAAGTTGCCGCGATATTTCGCAGCGGGAGTCGCGGTTGAATCGAAAAATGAAGGCGAGTTCGAGCGAAGGCGGCAGAAAAGGACGAGAAAGTAAAAGTTGGAGCACGAGAAAGGGGGAGAAGGACAAGTAGGAGAAAAGAGGAAGGCGAGGAGAGGGTGAGGTGGCCGGTGCACGGACCGAGCGATTTCCAGCGACGCGGCGGCGGTTCCCTCCGCCAGTTTAAGTCGAATCAATTGGAAAAGTTCGATTTCCACTCGTTTAGAACCGGCGCGTTCCACGGGATCGCCGCAGCTTTCCCTTTGGTTTAAAGTAGCGATAGATCAGAGAACGTTTCCGCGTAGAGGGCTGCGAAAGCCTGAAACTTCGTCGGTCCGCCGCGCCGCGGCATCCGGTTCCTGTCCGCTTCCTGCCGGTCTGCTTTCTTTCTCGTGGAACCGCGGCCGCTCGAGAAATTTCTACGAACTCGGACGATTAACCCCTTCGTGCAGGCCAGCTTGCCGAAGTTTCCACAGGGGAAACTCCCGGTTTTTCTTGCCGTGCCGAGGCATTTAGGGACGGCCGACCGACGGTATGTATCGATTTGTTGGTTTGCATCACGGCCCAGGATCGCCGGCCCTTGTTGCAACTCCGAGAAAGTTCAACCAAGAGTCTCGTGTGTAGCCTCGTGTCTTAGACTGTGCTGGGTCGGACCTCTTAACCTGGCCTCTTTTCTAGATCTGGCTAACTTGTGTGAACATTTTAACGAAATCGTTTCACGTTCTTATTAGTTAGAAACAATTAATCCTTAGCGCTACACGCGTTTCTCGAGTACTACCTACCAGCAACTCCGGCACATTTTTGGAGCAAAGCGCCCGAGATAAAGGAAGTCTTATTTCGAGCGGAAAAGATTACACGTCCTTGCGAAAGCGTTTGATTTTGTTCATTTTGTGTTTCTAAGTATAAAAATGGGCAAAAAATGTTTTAATCGTAACGGTATCTACTTAACATTGTGCGAGGTCGGTGCATCGACATCGTGAATTGTGACCGAAATTTCCAAGCAGCAAATGCATCCTCATCGAAATGGGTAAATTTACTATTAATGATATTCTTCGCAATTCTTAAATAAATATATCCCTCGTGTTCTTTGACGCGATTTATTATAAAATTAGCATTGCGAATCGTCCGTTGAATTCTGTTTGGATACGGAATTATCGAAACAAAAATATCTTTTGCGCGAGTTTGCCGGAATTTTTTTATTGTTAATCTTCACTGGAATCGGCTCGATTAATAATTAAATTAAATTAAAAATTAGTAAATATTCTTCGGACGTTCTAAAATAAAGTTGAACAGCGTTTTTCTGAAAAATATCCCTACCAGCAACTCCGGCACATTTTTGGAGCAAAGCGCCCGAGATAAAGGAAGTCTTATTTTGAGCGGAAAAGATTACACGTCCTTGCGAAAGCGTTTGATTTTGTTCATTTTATGTTGCTAAGTATAAAAATAGGTAAAAAATGTTTTAATCGTAATGGTGCACACGCTAAGCACGTTTTCACTACAAATAACAATTGCCAACGTCGACAAAAACATAACATCTTCGGTATAATCATACTAAAAATATTGGGCTCCGCAGCAGAGCCTTCGGATTTACGGAACAAATGACGGATGTCTCCATAGCGGAGCCAACGGAGCGCTAAGGGTTAACCTTTTAGGTACGGCTGAATTCTGCGCAAGGCTATTTCTCTGGAC